GCATATTCCAGATTTATCACCACCTCGGCTATTTTAGTTCGCAAGCAAGAATGCCAATAGCCGATGACTCGGAACGGAACATACTCAGAACCTACGGAAGACGACCCGACAGATCCAAAAGAAGTGCTTACGCTCGGTGGTCATCGGAGGAAATGATTAGTCGATTTATAACGATGAGTCGCTTCCGTAAGTAACGCTTTAAATAAAAGCCTCGATAATCTTTTTTTTTTCCCTTCCGCTTTAACATATCAAACTCACGTCGTATATCATAATTTAATAATCGTCGGCTCGCTTAAGTAGGCTTCCTTTCATCTTTTCAGTCTTAGTCGGTTTAAGCGACTGCGGATCGGAAGCGAGTGCGGATTTTTCGAATGTGTTAGAAATTTTTGTATATTATAGCAATTAATTACTATTACAACTTAAAATTATTTATATGAATAATTAATCTGCGATTATATCTTCTTTCGAAACATCCGAAATCGTATCATTTGATAAAACATTTGACTATCGATTGCTATTTTCAAAGTCTGATTCGTCTTTTACTTTACGCAACGAATCGTTTGAATCTCTACTATTATAAAATTGAAACTATCGCTATCGATATTAATACTAGAAAAAGGAAAAACATCTTGCTTTAAAAAAAAGGTCTTTAATAGTATCGGTTATAATTATCAGATCATCGTTATCGTAAGAAAGTTCGGGTTGAGAAAGAGTTGGTCGAGGAATACCTTTTTTACGAAGCCGCAAAATTTGACTTTTAAGAAGTTGTTGCATCTATCAAATCTCTTTCGAATCGAGAATTAGAATGAGCATTGTATTATCGTCTTTAATAATTAAGCTTATAGCAAAGCGTTTTCGTATAATACTTTTACGCTCGCGCTCAATTATGCGATTCCTTTACGATATTTAATATCTTTTTCTTTTTTTTAAATCTTATCGACGCGTTGTTATTTTGCAATAGATTCAAGATTTTCTTTACCTTGCTGCTTAATAGCAAGCTTGTTATCGATTAATAATACGATTTTAAATGTTTCGGAAAAAGATATGCTCGTAAATTAATTATTTATATAAATATTCTTTAGTTAATTATAATAGTAATTGCTATAGTATATAAGAATTTCTAATACATTCGAAAAATCCGCACTCGCTTCCGATCCGCAGTCGCTTATACCGACTAAGACTGAAAGGCTGAAAGGAGGCCCACCTAAGCGAGCCGACGATTAATATTCCAACAATAATGGCATACCTTCTGAGCCTCCACATACATTACTGGGATCGCTCCACTCCAGACGCGTTACGATCAGAAAATAACGAACAGATAGGTGTTGAAAAAAAAAAACTTCAAGACTCCAGAAAAAGTAAAGTCAAGCGACTAACTCTGCTAGATAAAGTTATATATATATAAGTGGCAATAATGCCAATAACCAACCACCTTATAACCAATCCAATCATTAAATATGCTACGCTATGCTACGCTATGCTATGCAACACTAACACACCAGAAAGACCTCAGCAGACAGACACATACACAAACACCTGACATGGATATATATTATTATATCGAGAAAGGAGGACTGAACTCGAATCTAATCCCCCCCCCTTCTTTCCTTCCCACCCCACCTGCTAGTTGTTGTTGTTGTTGTTGTATTTATTAACGTCGGGCGGGTATCCAAAACGCAATGCTTGGACCCTAGGGACCTCTCATAAGGTACGGCGACGTGCTAAGTAAAGGAATTATATACAAAGTACCTGTAAACCCCTTAAAAGCAATTCATAATGATGTGCGTCGAGTTTTTTTTCGACAACTGTCGAATACGTATAGCTTTACGGGCGGCCTCGATCCGTATAGTATAAACATCGTTCTCTTTCGTCGTAGAGCTAAAAAGGCTCGCGTTCGTAGCCTTTAGATAAAGCCGGTGTGTTTGCAAAACGCTCTTTCGAAAGCGCAATACCGTGTTTTCGATCAATCGAACTAAGCCCTTCTTATCTTATCTCTTATACACGTTCCTTTTCTATCGCAAATCCTCTTAGTCTTTTCAATCGGTATGCCCGTTAAGTATAGATCGTAATCGGCGTAGTATTCGAAAAGAAAGAAGAAGGAGGTTCGGAATCGCCGGTAAAAGAAAATCTCTTCGAAGAGACGTCGCATATCGATGATTCAATTTCGGCTCTCTAGACTTTTTATCTCTTTTTCTACCGCAAGAG